GGTTATGTTTCCCCTTTTCCACTCTGCGGAAACTTCACCAGAGTGCCACAATTTGTCAAATGTAATGGATAGTGGTTTGGCAACTTCATCTGCCAGTTCCCTCAGGACCCACGGATGTATCTCATCAGGCATTCTTTTAGCCAGTAAAATGAAAACTATGCTCTACCACAGCAGAAAAACTGATTTTGCAGCCAAGTACTAGATATGCCTTCCCTCAGACTCACAGGATAGTTGTTACATTTGGCTACACGATACCCAGAACTATAGGGAGCTTTATGGACGATGCAGTTCTGGGAAGCAACTGCAATGGGAAGCAGTAAGAAAACCTCCGCAGCACCACCACTATCTTGAGCCACCCCCCTAATGCAATTTACAGCCTCTAATATCTTTTTCAGCTCTCATAACCCTTGCCATACCCTTCCGCTTCTTGCAAATCAATGTAATTGCCCTTACTGCAACAGAATCTGGGAAAAATTTCTTGGAATCTTTTGTAATTTACAAAAAGTTTGAAAATAATTTAACATTATATCTTACTTTCATATTACTCTTTCAAAGTCATTCTTCCATTTGTTAGGAAAAAACCCAAAAACCCCCCAAAACCCCAGAATCTAGCCAGAAGGTAACATGCCATAAATAATATTGTAGCATCCATAACTACCAGTTTTCTTGGTAATTCTAGATATTTTACTAACTGGAAAATTTCCATGGTATGCTCTATTTTTAAATGTCTTTAGTGTTTCCCTTTCCATCATACTACACCTGGATGAGAAATGTGTGCCTTTAAGTTCAGTTGTGAGTCTTCTCACCACAGACTTATAGATCGGATAAGGCCACTCCCACCCACCAGTAATTCATTACTCTCCATTAGCATTTGAGCGCTAAATTGTTTAACCAAATTTGCATGTAGAGAAGACACTCAGAGCAGGCACAGGTGGCAAAATCAGAACCCTTGCAGCACCACTTAAAACTACATACCAGAAAAATCTTGTTCAGACACATCTTTTTAACTCAGACAAATATAAAAAGAAAAGTAAAAAAGTTTCTGTGAACTGAGAATTCATGTAAGATCCATTTGAAAACCTTGAGTGCTAACATAGTAAACCAGCTCAATTCATAAGCAAGTACATCTGCTTTTTTTTTTTCATGATGTAAAGTGAATAAGCCTTAAGCCTAAGGAAAAGCAATTATTATTCATTTGTTTAAAACACAGAAGTACTAATACCAATAAAAATGCTGACAAACTATTAGGTGGGATAGATACTAGTGCCAATCTATCATCTTCAATAAATGTTTATTAACAAACTAATAATTGTTGACAGTAGATATAATGTAAATAATGCAGCAGATCACAGCATTTTCATTAGGATTTATGAAGATTAATTGTCTTGTTAAGCTAATGAAGTTCCAGTACAACAATGAGATGGTGAAATATTTTAATCAATTGCTTTAACTCCACCAGAATTATTGTAATTTTTCTCAGTTGCATTGTATTCATGACCACGAAAGCAAGCATGATATTTCCAAATGAATCCCAGCTCCAGAGCTGGCACAGGATGGATGACATGATGGGGAGGTTACAGGGATGAAGGTTCAGCACAGTAAGCAGTCAGGCATCTCCCTACTACACCCCCCAGAGTAGAACTCCTTATCTTCACACAAACCTCTAGCAGCCTTCCAAGTAACCCTCCTTCAACACTGCTGGTGCAGGGCGGGTCAGAACACCTGCAGTGTCTAGGGAGTAGCCCCCAATGTAGCTATTCTGATGCAAAGTACAGGTATTCTGGGTTTGGTCACTGAACACCAGCTGCCAGTCCTGTTCAAAGACAGGCATGCAAGCTAGACCCTAGTATGACACAAAATAGACCCACCGACACTTACACTTCTTCTGTCCTAGACCCAGTGAAGCTTTTCCAGACAAAAGCCAAATCTTTCTTGGGGCTGGAGTGAGGTGCTGACACAGGAGAGCATCTCCACCTCTTGCTATTGTGTGCCCTACGATATCAGGTGTATCTAGAGGCCAGACAACTGCAGCACAGGAGATGCAGGAGCAGTGGTGTTGGCAACTGTGTCATGCAATAAAATCTATGCTTCTGTGTATTCCTTACAATAGTTTATCAGGCTACCTGAGCTAAGCTTACACTGAGATGCTACCAAGCGCTTTAGCCTTTCCCTTCCCAGTCAGTGTGGATGTACCTCTAAACCTGTCCTGGCATCCCAGTTTCCCCTCCCACAGCCTTATACACATTTCTTACTTCTGTTGGTGTTCTTGCATCTCATTTATTCATTCTTCACTTTGGCCATTCTGAGGTTCTTTCCACACAGATTATAGTGCTACAGGACAGCATTCGTTAATGTGGCACAATTTACATTACTGACATCAAGGTGCATATAAGGCTGGGAGCGATTAACATTTGATGTCTGCCTGAGACAATTCCAAGGCAGCTCTGTGCAGCTCATGCAATGCAGCGCAGTGCTCAGTGTCACTGACAGAACTTCTCTCAGCAGGAGCATCCTTGTCAGCATAACAGCAGACTAAGATCCCCCAGGCATATGGAGGGACTGAGAGAGGGCAAATTCCTCCTTCAATTAGTGCCAATCACACCCTGAAGTATACCGCCCATTACAGACTGGGTGATGGCTTCCCACATTCAAGTTTTTCCATGCATATTCTGGCACTACCTGCATAAAACATGAAAGGACTAAGGGATTATTTGGCTTTCTGCATTACTGAAGTTGAACTGACAGCTCATGCTTATGTAACAGATTTCACTCAGTTCATCACCAAGGTTTCAAGCATTTCAACAATTTCTCAAAGTCTGAGGGACTCACTTCATGGCTACAGAAAGCTCCCAATGTTAAATGTCTGCCTTCTCAAATTCTGCTTACAGAGGACAAAGGGGTTTTTTTAAATGCAAAGCCAAAATGAGTAGTTCTGTATCTCACATGAGGGACTTCTGCTTAGCAAGTGAAACTTGCTAATACTTCAGGCAGTTCAGAAGTCGAAACATACGCTGAAAGCACAGTGTTTATCATTACAACCAAGAAAACTATCACTGCAAATCCAGAGTAGTTTTTATGAACCTCAATTCATGGAAAGGAACAGAAAAAAACTGCCCTTTCCATTAAGCTTCAATTCAAGTAACAATTGCTGTCAAACAACACATTGTTCCAAACACTGCAAAGAACATGCTGTATTTTTACAAAATTCTTCCCTATCAGTTCAGAAAAATGGGTTACCGCTAGATAAGAAAGATAATAAAGTTCTTTTCTGAACACAGGAAAAGATAAAGATAGGAAAGAATGCAGACTGAACAGCTGTCTCATTCAGTTAATGAATACATGGATCTGAAAATAATTTATTGCTCTAGTAACCCTCATCCTCCTAACACCTTCCAATACTTAGCAAGGTTCTTACCTGTCCATATTTACAGGGGGTTGATGTGAAACAATCACATGTGTGCAGGTGGCAGGTTTCCCGTTGTGTGGAGATTGCGTTGCATGCTGGAGCTGAAGTCCTCCTGCAGGTTCCAAGAGAGATGCAGGACTGGTTATGACTAGAGAGAGAAAACAGGTTTCCATAAAACCAAGCAACATAATCTACCTGCAGATTAGGATAAGACATTTCCTACAAAAGACACGACAATCAAGGCAAACTACAGATTTAAAAAAATAGAGTTCCCACATGCTTCCCTCCCTGACACCCTGCCTCCTTTGTCAAGTTTTTGGGCACACAATCCCCGTTTCAGTTCTGAAGTAAATGCCACAGATTTCAAAACTATAGATTTATGACCAAGAATAAATATTTTACAATGATATACGCAATTTCAACACATAAGCCAGTGGTCAAAATGGGCTGATATCTGATAGAATATTATGCTGCCACTTCTCAAGCAGCAGTGAGAAGACAATAAGAGAACACTGGGACATGATCCATTTCATCCACTTCTTGGTTCCTTTGTTAATCACTCACTGAAACCCAAAACAAAATCAAGAGGAAAAAAAAAAATCTCAATGGAAAGGATATTTCTTTCAACAAGTACCAAATCACTACTGTAAAATGCTGTAGAGAGCAACATAAAATTAGAGTGTGCTTGTGCTTCATCCAAAGACCATATGATAGACGTTACTGGCCTAATTCCGGATGTTCTTTAAAGTACAACTACAGCCTTCTGTATTGTATCTACAGTTACACTAATTCACATCCAGCTCAGTAAAAGGAAACAATTGCACTCCTCCCATACTAGCATCTGTTACAATAATCACAAGGACAGTTTAATATTCATAGGCTTGGACACATTTATTTCAGTTACACAAAACCTCATCTGAGGAGACCCTCGCTTCAGCTGCTCCAGTTTTGCTATGCTCTACATGCTTGGGCTGAACTCTTTTACACAAAATGTCTTATGGTTTTGGTTGGGAGGGACCTTAGAGATCATCTAGTTCCAACCCCCCTGCCATGGGCAGGGACACTTCCCACTGCAGCAGTTTGCTCAAAGCCTCATCCAGCCTGGCCTTGAACACCTCCAGGGATGGGGCACCCACAGCTTCCCTGGGCAACCTGTTCCAGTGCCTCACCAACCTTACAGTAAAGAATTTCTTCCTAATATCTAGTCCAAATCTGCCCTATTCCAGTTTAACTGAGTGCGACCATCCAGACAATTCTTTATTCAGTGGGTGGTCCATCTATTACATCCATATTTTTCCAGTTTGGCCACCAGGATGTTGTGGGGGACAGTGTCAAACGCTTTACAGAAGTCCAGGTAGATGACATCAGTTGCTCTTTCTTTGTCCACTGATGCTGTAACTCCATCATAAAAGGCCACCAGAGGTTTGTCAGGCATGATTTGCCCTTGGTGAAGCCATGCTGGTTACCAATCACCTCTCCTTCATTTTCCATGTGCCTTAGTAGAGACTTCAGGAGGATCTGCTCCATGATCTTGCCAGGCACAGAGGTGAGACTCACTGGTCTGTAGTTCTCTGGGTCATCTTTTTTACCCTTCTTGAAAATGGGGGTTATGTTTCCCCTTTTGCAGTCAGTGGGAACTTCACCAGACTGCCATGACCTTTCAAATATGATGGTTAACGGCTTGGCAACTTCATCTGCCGGTTCTCTCAGGACACATGGATGGATCTCATCAGGTGCTGTGGACTTGCTCATGTTCAGGTTCTTTAGATGGTCTTGAACCTGATCTTCTCTTACAGTGGGCAGGTCTTCCTTCTCCCAGTTCTTACCTTCACTTTCTGCAACTTGGGCGGTGCATCCAGAGCCCTTGTCGGTGAAGACCAAGGCAAAGAAGTCATTGAGCACCTCAGCCTTCTCTGTATCCCTCATGGCCACGTCTCCAGTTTCCTTCCAGAGAGGGTCCACAACTTCCCTAGTCTTCCTTTTATCACTGATGTACTTGCAGAAGTTCTTGTTCCCCTTTATGTGCCTGGCTAGATTTAATTCCATCTGGGCTTGAGCTTTCCTAACCTGATCCCTGGCTGCTCGCACAGCCTCTTTGTATACCTCCCAGCTAACCTGTTCTTGCTTCCACTCCCTATATATTTTCTTTTTGTCTGATCTTTGGCAAGTTTTACATGAAGATATTAGCAATATAGGTTTTGTGCTTCTCCAAGTGAAACAACAGGAAAATATACTTGCTTTAATAATTAAAATAGAAAAGCAGAAGAAAGTTCTTTTGCTTTGGAAAGGCAGAGTTATCTCTTATTTTGAGGCACAGGCCAAACAAATGACAAAAAGGTGATGGACTTAGTTTCACTGCGTGATTTGTCCATTCCCATGAGGGTCTCCTCATATTTTGCCAAACAGTAAGACCAAAAGAAAAAGAAAAAAAAAAAATCACCATTTGTCTATAGTCAGAAGTCTGTTAGAGCATAATATGTAAAGTTAGAGTTGGCTGAAATATGTCCATTAATTCATAACTTTAACTCAATAGCATATCTAGATAAAGCAAAACTGAACAGTAGAGCGGCCCTGAAGGTAAGGGCAGTTTTCTCTTTATCTGTGTCAAGAAGTTTCTTGGTGGTGCTAATTATAGCATTCACTTTAAACATTAAAAAAAAAAAAAAAAGCAGTACAGGCAGCCAGTGCTGTTATTTGTCCTTTGTGTTACTCCACTCAAACACAAAAGAGAAAGATTCATGTCATTTAATGTGTTATGCTACAATAGGATAAGCCATTTGGCAGCTTGACTTCAGTATCTTTCAATATTCCTAATTCATACTTGGTCATTGTTGAATATGAGCTACACTTTATTTTGCTTCCTTGATTGTAAGTATTAAAATCTTGTCTAAAACTTTACCTAAAATGAAAAAAAGATAGAGGGAATGGAATAGAAGGGAAGACTGAAATTGTGGGTGTGACAGGAAGACTAAGCATTTGTATAAGCTCAATTTTGAAGGAAATAGAAGTTGAAACCAAGTGAATAAGGCAGCAGGTGTGGAAGATAGAAATCACAGGGAGATGTTTGGATAATGAACAGTTTGTTTTGATAACTGAGATGAAAGAACCCTTTAAGAAAATGGAATAAGTCTGCAACAACCATATCTGTAATACTATGCAAAGAAACTATAAAATCCATTTTCTTTTGTGATCTGAATCATAAAAGAATGTGTTTCTTTTCACTTTATAAATAATTAAACTTGATAAGCAACACCCTCTCGTTAAACACCAACACGACTAAGTTGGTAAAACAGCTGACTTATTTAGTAATGGCTAACAACCTATACAGAAAGGCTAAATAAATGCTGTTTGCAAAAACTTCAGTTATATTCCACTCATGGTTTTCTTTACTGCAATTAGTGCGCCACGTTTCAGAATTGTATCTCAAATCCTTGGCTTAGTAGGCATTTATTCACCTGTTCTGCTCAGGGCACAGTTAAAACACAATACCTGCTTCTCCAGTAATATTTGCCTTTGATATATGTCCATTGTGCTGGTCATTGGGTTTCTACAAAGGAAGCACAGCTTTGTAAATTAAAAATGGCAAAAAAAGAAATGAAACATGCCCAGTATTTACACGTTAAGTAGCAGCACTGACCTTATCTACAGCTTCTACACGCCTAGTTCTCTTCATGATCTCCTCAAGCCTCTACAATGAAATGTAAAGGGGTAAAATAATGTTTGCTGGCATCAATTTAAAACTATCTCTTCCAAACCACAACTGCTTGTCATTTATCAGATGCATCTGTTTATTGCAAAAAGATGAATTATTTATTACTGCCGGCAATATTGCCTTCACTTTTACATCAGGCTACACAGATGAGGACTGCAGCTTTTCTGAGGGCACATGTGTATCGTGGATAACTTCCTACAGCTGAGATGGAAGCAAACTGCTAAGGCAAAAATTACAGTTTCCCTGCATGTACTGAGTTACCTTCTTCCTTTCCAAGCGCTCTTGCTCTTCTCTTTGGAAATGCTTTTCACGTTCTAATCGAATCCGCTCTGCCTCTTCCCGTAGGCGAGCTTCCTCCTCTTTCTAAGTTGACGGTAAAAGAAAAAGAAGCGAGGGATAATTTACTATTTAAGCAGGTATCAGTATAAATCTGTCCTTAACTATGGATATCTACCACACCCTGAAAATACACTTTGGGGGTTTTCAAGTCACCAACAATCTTTTCAGATGGTATTGCACACTTCTTGATTAACCTCTACATTTTGCATATCATTAAGAGATGTGTAACTGAACAACAGACTTCATATTTGGTTCTGTGCCTGTCCTGAGGCATGCGCATGAAAGCACATCAGATGACAAATAAGGAGTACATTTCCTAACTTTCAGTATTAAAACAGCAGCCAGGGAAGTATTAAAGAGATTTATGTTTTGAGAGGGGCATGTTTTTGAGAGTCAAACAAAAGGAAGAGAATGTTTTGTTTGGCCAGAGTCATCACTTAATGGGACCAAGGACAAACAGCCACAGGTACATTTGCACAAGCTTTCCATTCCTGATAAATTAAATGTAAAAATTGTCTGGAATATACTGTAGAGAGGCCTTGCTCCTTGACAGTGACAGTGTTGTGTGATGGAACTACTACAACAGTTCATTTGTTACGGCTCTAACATCCAAAAAACTTGGTCATATTTATCTCTGAGTGCTAAACTGGGGATGTACCTCAGTTTAGCATTTCAAAGAAAGCAGCATACGTCTTCTGAAAAAGAAAACTGCAGTTTCTAAGCTATATTCACTAACACAATCCTTTAAAATTTAGTTTCAGAAGCATACATTTAATTACATACCAGAAAAAAACCCCTAATGTCTATGAGGCAGCTTGAAGTGCTGAATTTTGGTGACAAGAAAGTACATGCAAAAAGTAAGAGCATGTCCAAGAAGAGAAGAATCCTATCCAAAATGCTTACCACAGCCTCTCCTGAAGTCAGTAAATCAGCATTATGCCCATCAGAAGTTGGAGCACTTATTGGGCATAGGATTAAAACTCAGCAATGCTATGTCTCGAACACTCTGAATAGTTATCTTGGCATCTAGACTTTCTGTAACTGTGGGGACTGAGTTCTCTTGCATAACACCATTCATTAAAATCTCCTAATACAACTCTATTGACTTTTTTTCATCATGATTTATCAGGAATAGGAAAGGATTTGTTCTAAATAAATAAATTCTATGGGATGGGGGGCGGGGACCAAACCAAAACTCAACTCCCTACCACATGTTTTTGTCAAGAAATATCTTTACTCTTTGAACCACTCCATGGAATGAACACCGCCCCAGCCCTATTCACTTTATATATAGCACTGACATTTTAAATGTCCGTCTAATCTAGGTGCTGCATAAGAGGTGTTGTTTCATCCACTTCACTGACAACCAGATTGGCACAGAAATTCCGGGAGGGGAGCATACTTGTTTCTGAATGCGCTCCATCTCTTCTTTCTCCTTCTGCTCTCTCTCTTCTGCCTGTCGGCGCAGCCGTTCTTCCTTTTCCCGCTCCTCTTCTACATCCTTTCGTTTTTTTTCTGCTTCCTGTCTGCGAGCCTCTTCCTCTTCTCGGCGAGCTCGTTCTTCAGCTATCCTCTGTGACAGCTCCTCCTTCTTTTGTCTGCAATCATGAAACAAGCATAAGTAAAATAAGTAGAAAAAGGAGGGCAAAAACCCAAACCACTAGATTCCTGACTCAAGACACCAGCACTGCAGAACAGCTGGATAAAGGTTGCACTGCTGTCTCACTCATAAGGTGTATGTTCTGCTTCCAGCAGGAGCCAAATGTGGAGCCCTATGGAACATAAAATCTTTGCAAGGCAATACCAATACTTGTTCAGCATATGCCTGGTTCCCACTGATCTATGGCTTGCATATTTTCTGAATCAGAAAGTGTCATTGTCTTTAATACATGCTGCAAAACACTTCTTTGTAATTTTATTTCCTCATATTTTGAAATAGTATATATTTTTGGCACCTATCTTATCTTGCGGCAGTGACTCCCGAATTTTAAAAAAAGTATCTAATTTTGCTGATTTTTGAATGTTAACTCCTAGCCTCACTTAATGCCCCCTCATCCTTCTATTACAGGGTGTAATACAAGGAGTGTTTTCCCCTTCACTCTTGATGTCACACAAATTATTTTAAGACTTTGTAGCTTATTGTATCCCCACTCAGAAGTAGAAGACAGATGGTCTTCCCAGCTGAAGAATCCTCACCTGTTTAGTAAATTTTCATATGGGAGCTGTTCTGTACTTGTGATGTTCCTTGATGTCTGTCTGCACTTATTTTCCTTGTTTTACTGATTTTACTGTCTCAAAAATATACAAAACTCAACATTCAAGACATGGATTCACCTTGGATAGTTCAGAATTACATTTTCATTTTGTCCGTCTCTTGTAGTGACTTGTAACAGTTCGTATATTTTGTTGACCATGACTCACCTGATACTATCATATACTCAAATCCAAAGAAGATCTCTTCCCTCAGAAATAATTAGCCCAGAGACCATCATGAGTTAGGTTAGGATCATTTCCTTATATGCATTCCTATCTGCTAAGGCAGTATTACAAGTCAGCTTTCATTCTGTATCTCAGTAATACAAGATACATCTGAAACTCTTCACAGCTGCTTTATCTCCCTGAAGAACAGCAGTATCTCACTGGCCACAACTCCTTTCAAGTTCATTTATGAAGGCACTGAACAGACTCAGAACTCCTTTCACTGTGAAAGCTGACTATTCTTTACCTTTTGTTTTCAAACTTCCAGTCTTAGTATTTATTCACTGTATTACTCTTATGCCACAGCAGCTTGTTTTCTTTAAAACCCTCTTTGAGAGGCACCATGTTGTGAGCCTTCTGGAAAGCCAGGCTACTTTAACCAGCTCTGCCATGTTCTTATGTTCAGCAATGTTGTTAAAGAATTCCCAAAAAATCCCACAGGCATGGCATCCCTCTAAAAAGGTGCTCAACTTGTTTTATAGTCACAGTCATAAGTTTAAAAGTTGAAAACAGCTGGACAGAGTACCCTAGCTGGAATAAACAAGTATAGTTTTGTTAATCTCTGAGGAAACAAGGAATCACTACAGCAAGGATCTGCTCTCTCCTCCTGCCCTATTTTAAAGCACTATTTGGGATAAGTTTTAACCTTACAGATCAACTTAGGTATATATTATGCCTATGAAAAACCCCAACAGGAAAATTTGTTCTTGAGGAGGAACTGGTGCCTCCTCTATGTCAGTACTGTGCTTCATAGATCACAATATATCAACAGAATATGCACAAGAAGCTGCTAAAAACATATCTTCTCCACTGCGAAGGTCTAGAATCACCTTTCAAGCTCCTCTCTCTCCCTCCTTTCTTGCTCCTCCCGTTCCCGCTGCTCACGGGCAAGGCGCCTCTTCTCAGCCAGCAGTCTCGTTGCTTCTTCAGGATCAGTTGTACCTGCAGAGGTCTTTGTGGGGGCTGGCAGGGGAGAAAGAGCTGGCAGAGCAGGAGGTAGAGATGGGCTGGCTGCCAAAACACATGGGAAGGAAAACTACTTTGCACAGACACAGTGGCCAAGGTAACACTCTCTTGAAAGAAGTAGAAAATAGTTTCAAATACTCTGTAAAACATTTTCAAGCTTACGTAGTTTTGTAAATTATTCAGAGCAGGTAGAAATTTCTAGATGCTAAAGGTTCATATGCTTTAAGGGAAGTTTGTTTTTACAGGCTATGTGAAAGCAGCTGCAGTTGAAAGGTTGAGCCAACTCTTCTGTCAGAAGAAAAAATGCTGAAAGGTGCTCAATGGGAGTTATGCTGAATCAGCAAGTCCATACCATCACATTTCTTAAGCTTGCCCAATTCTGTTCTGAGAGCAGAAATGAAACACTGTGATGATATACTCTCTTCTGGCTGATCATCTGCATTTCAAGAGCAGAGCCAGACTTCTTGTGATAGGCCGGTCACTTTTGGTGACTCAAATGTCAGCTGCCTGAAGTGATCTGCATTAAGGGTAGGACACAAACTGTCATTACTATTGCAGTTACTCCAGAGGTAACTCGTAGGAACAGAACGCAGCTTCTTAGCAAGCTTTGCCACTAATGGTAAACTACAGCTTATGTTCAAATCTTGAGTGTCTTCATATAAACTCTATCTAGGACCAGCTTTGGCCACCTGGTAGAGAATGTGTTACAGGTTTTCTTCCTCAAATAAAACACTAGTTTACATTTCTTTAAGTTTGCCTGGCATTCCCTAGCACAGGCACAGAGCACCTCAACTGTACTTTTTCTCTAGAGGCCAAGGACCATTACCAACACAAAAGCTAACTGAAGGAAGCATTCCCAGGGTAATCATATCTGGTAATGCAGACAAACATGGATAGGGAGGACTTTGAACTGTCAATGGAATCTGATTCCAATCCTGGGAAGACAGGTGTAAAATAAGTCATTAGGAACAGCCAGGAAATTATTTTAAATACACATTTGCAACAACCCTTCAGGATGCTACACCATTTTCTGTACCTGATTCGCTGCTCCTACACTTCAGCATGCATACAAACTCAAATTCAGTTGCTTTCTCTGTGCTGAATGCTCACATCTGCTGACCTTTCTGCTCTCTTCTTCTATTAAGTAAAAACTATGCAGGTCTTCTATAACTGCTTTAGGGCTTTCACCTTGAATTCAAATGATATACGTACACCAGTAATTTAAAGAGTGCCAGGGGCTGGTTCTCTAGCCCTGAGGTGAGCTGGTACAGTTTAGCCTCAGCCAGAACACTATACTCTCACTTTACCAAAACAGGTATTCAGTCAACCCCCAGGGAACAGTCCAGGCATGGGCTAACCTCCAAGATGTAGCTGGGAACTCAGGAAAACTTTGGGATGGCCAAATATTAGAAGGTAAGTTAATTTGATCCTTCTAAAGCTTGGTGGCCTTTTAGACCTATGCTCATAGTAGCCCTAGAGACAGAAGGTAAGAAAATGCAGGGCTGCAATTACAACCTGGATCAGAAACATACCAGAGAGTCTTTGTAATATTTAAAACAGTATAAATGACAGAGTTACTGCAACTCAGCCCTTTATAATTTACAAACACAGACCAAGGCAGGGCTGTCACTGCTAAAGACAGCACAGCTTTGTGCTGCTTGGGGTTCACTTCTTGCCCCAGGTGCTGAAGCTGACAGTGTGACAAGGAGCTTGCTTAATGCACACCTGCCCTGCTGTCAGAAAAGATGACAACAGCTTGCACAGGCACACCCAAAATACCTTTAAAACTTCATTAGTATTAGTAAAAGTCATGAGAGATCTTCCTGAAAAAGTTTGATTAGCTCCACCAGTGATCACTACCTGCTGACCTCCTGGCTTGTGGGACTACAGAGCTAACAGGTAGCTGAGCCAAACAGGTTACAGGCCAGTTCAGGAACATTCTGAAGAATTTATACTAACATTTGATAGAAAACTACTGAAAGCCATGCTGTTTTATATAAAAGGAGGGAAGAGCATGAGAGACTTCCAGACATTCCTTAACCTAAAGGAGGATCTCTCCTTACCTTGAGCGAGCTCTGCCTGGACAGTGAGCTCCTCCTGACTTGCATATTCTTCAACACCTGCTGAAGTTCCTTTACTCTCTTCTGTCCTCTTCTCCTTGGCCTTTTCAGCCTCCTTTTCTGGTCTTTTCTTCTCACTCTCTGTTTTGACCTCTTTTTTGACTGGGCGGATGTTGCCAGGAGAAGGAGGACATGCCTGAGCAGAGGAAATTTTGGAGGAAGCAGGTGGAGAAGTAACCTGCTTGGGTGTGCCAGGCAAGAAAGGCAGAGACTTTGATGCGTGCCTGGGGAACCACAAAGAGCAACAATCACTATCAGACATGCTCTGCTGGACGCCACCTACACACCACTTCCACAACTACAATAATTAAAAATAAAACAACTTCTTTATCTCTCTGCTATCAAGCAAGACTGCTGGAACAACCAATTAGCTTTCATGTAAAATGCTTCTCTTGGCAACTCTCCAGATATGTGAGCACTGAGCCCAGCCAAAAGGGAAGAAACGAGGTATCTTATTGCTCCTTTCCCTTCCTCAAAGCAGTAGTAGTATTTCTGTAAAAGCAGGACTGTCTTTCCATTGTTGCAGAGAGAAAACATCTACATCACCAAATAAGTCTGCACTGTTTCACATTTAATTAATAGATCAGAGATGCCTGCAACTCAACCTCCAGCTATGCATGTACTTGGCTTACCAAACTGGAGAGGGAGCTGGTGATCTAGCTTTCAGGTTGGAAGAAAAATGACCTCCTTTAAAGCTGGCTGAGAAACTGGATGACAAATGGTCTCTCTCCTTTTCTTTTTTGTCAGTCTGTAGTTCAGCAAACAAAAAGACAAAAGTCAAGGCAGAGTTCACATGGCTAAAGAAAGCAAAGCAAGCTCAGTTAAGGATGAGGGTTTGGGGGGCTGAAAAAAAAGCTGTGCTGAGTCAGTAGTTTTGACAGCCTGTTTAACAAGTTCATTAACATAGGTCCAGTAGTCTGCCACCATCTTTGTCAGTAACTATGCATTTGACAACAGGAATACTTCTTAATCATGCTCTCTACTGTCTTAAGACCCAATAGCCTAATTTGCAGAGGCTTATTTCTACACAGGCAAAAAATTACCTTTTAAGGTTTGATCTTTGCTGATTGCCACAGAGTACCTTCCACTGCTCCCATTAAACCCTGGATCTCATTTGAAGAGTGAGCAAAAAACATCCCTTGACACACACTCCCCTAGGCTCATGCTTATTCACAGTCCCTATATAGCACAAGCTTTTTGCTTTGATGCCTATATGTGAACACCAGAGATACTCTCAAATGTAGTACAACAGTTATCCTATTCTTTTTTTCTTGGATGATTCCACAGCACATACTTTTTTTGCCATCGATTCGGATACACAGTAGAGATTTCCTCTTTTTGCTTCTTTATTTCTCATATCAGAATTTATTTTTTTAAAGTATTTCTGTTATATCTCTGGCTTGTATTAATAGAACTATTAGTTTAAAGGAATATACCAGAATTTAGGCATCTGTATATTTTCTCCATTTAACTATAGATTAAAAACTTCAGGTTTTTGGAACAATGAGCTCAGACTCTGGGAGTCCAAAGAATGGCAAGACTGGAGAGTACACTGAGTGGCCACTCAGCCAGCATGATGCAGAGGGGCTGCTACTCACCAGCTTGGTTGGGGCTTAAGTACAACCCTTGTAGTGTGTGTACCACACTGCTTTAGAACCTCACTGGCTGAGAGTTCTGCAATGCTTATCTCCTGAACTGAAAAAACTGCATGAGCACATAAACCCTTGGTTTATCTTCATAAAGACCTTAGAGATCATCTAGTTCCAACCCTCCACTAGAGCAGTTTGCTCAAAGCCTCATCCAGCCTGGCCTTGAACACCTCCAGGGATGGGGCATCCACAGCTTCCCTGGGCAACCTGTTCCAGTGTCTCACCACCCTCACAGTAAAGAATTCCTTCCTAATATCTAGTCCAAATCTGCCCTCTTCCAGTTTAAATCCATTATCCCTCATCCTGTCACTACATGCCCTTGTAAAAAGTCCCTCCCCATCTCTCCTGTGGGCCCCCTTCAGGGACTGGAAGGCTGCTGTAAGGTCCCCCTGAAGCCTTCTCTTCTCCAGGCTGAACAACTGCAACTCTCAGCCTGTCCTCATAGGGGAGGTGTTTAAAATTAATTATTTTAAGTTGCCAAAACCATAACTTAATATTAGCAACAGATAGTTTCAATCCTAAAATCATTACTCAAGCCAGCTCTTTAGCAGTATAACTTACCAGAAATATATTGGTTAATATGATAATCACCTGAGTTACCAAAGCATACACAGCCAGAATAAATGCATTACAATGAAAAAGAATTTTGGCTCACTAGCAATAACTCTGTATATTTGATTTACTTGATTAGTCTTGAAAACAGAGCATCAGAAAATTTTTCTTAATATCAATAAAATAAAACTGAATTCCTACAAAACTTTACAGAGTAATAAAAGTTTCTTCACATCATACAGGTTACTGAAACCAGCTCTTACCTCAGTCATTCTGTATTAATAACATTTTTTACATTGTCTCTTCCACCAAAATGTACTAACCTTTCTTCTCTTTAATTAAAAATAAACAAACAAAAACCCCAACCAACCAAAGAACAACAACAACAACAAAATACCCCAAACCATTTGCCATGAGAAAGACCCAAGAGGTGTTAAACTGGTAGCCCTGGCGATTGCAATGCACTGTGTGCATACTATGAGATCTCTCTAAGATACATCCCAATGCTGCGCCTTAACTGAAGATTCAACATACTACTATCTGCCTAAAAGATTAAATACTGGCTATGATTCACGTGACTTTCATTAACACTGCTTCCAACAAGGATGTCAACAGCAGCACTGTCTCTTGACATTTTTGCCCATCAGGCCAAATGAAAATGCAAGCACCTCTTACACAATCATTTGCAGAGATGACTTCGCTCTTCTCACTCTCTAAACAAACTCAGGCTGTAGAGTAAAAGGAAAAAATGTAACTGCTCAGGTTCAACAAACGATATGTGAACTGGAGCTGGCTGCACCCCATTGTCTTGGAGCACAGTCAGCATTAATTCAGTAATTCAGTCTGCCAGTATCATGCTGTTCTAATTTTCCCTGAAAGCTCAGATCAGTCACAGTACAGCTACTAAATCATTCAGAATAAACTTGTGATCTGTGCAAAGTCTCACTTACAAACCATACTCCTAAATCAAGTTCTTTGCTCTGAACAAGGAAAACTTTACTAGCCTGGTCTCCTAAGAAAGTAAAGCTGAAGTGACAGTGCCCTGTGTGCTTATGCCTATAGACATGTGTGAGTGCATGCCTTTCCCCCTCTTGATCCCAGAGGCTCGGATCAATTTGCTAGAGGCCCTAGAAGACAGGAAATCCTATAGGCTTTGTGAAAACAGGTTGCTCAGGGAACAGATGAGGAGAAAGCCGCAACATTGGCTCAGGCCTTAAACGGCAGCAAAGAATCCCCTTGAGAAAAGGGCACACACACTGTAACTGACTCCGTGCCTCAGGAGAAGCTAAAGCATCTGCTCTGCAAACATGGGTGCTTTTCCACATGGATTCCTCAGTGCATAGTCAGGCCACATCACCACTTAATGTTGTATATCTCCGTTAAAATCCAGCCAACCATGAAACAAATTGGAGGGGATGGGGACAATGCAGAGGGAAGGATCAGACTTAGTCAAGTATCCTTGCAACTACTTCTGTCTTAACAAGCAATGCAATCAGGTGGTCATGGCATGAGACACTATCAAAAGTATCACTGGCATGCTTACCCCTGCAAGATGTGTTGTTCTCCTACGTCCAACAGCATCAGTAGAGGCATAAAGCTTTGCTCGGTCTCCTGGATTCCTACAGCTCACGGCCTTGTAGGACAGAGGACTGATGGGGCTGCAAGATGCTGAACGGGGACAAATGGGGATAACTATGGTGTTGGTTGGTTTTATTATTTATTGATTTTAATTACAGAGCAGCATTGAAGAATTAACAGAGGAAAGCCAGCAGGAACAGAAACCACCGAGAAAAACAGAAAAGAAAGACAGTATTAATATATAGAGCAATGACTAATTCTCAAGTCAGAACCATCATTTGATACATTAGCTTGTCCACACACATAGAAATGATACAATTTCAATAGGCAATCATGTACTTTTCAATTTGTAAACTAATAATTTATTTTAAATAAATAAGTATGCCAGCATAACTGGGTAGTAGAAAGCAACAATGTTTTTCAGCTAAGTTTTAATAACTTGGTAGTTCTGAAAAAGCAGCGGACACAACAGCAGGTCTGACTGACTAGCTTAGTATGTGCACTGATGTGAGTTTCAATTACATTTGGAAGAGAACACAAACTAAAATCAGAATGCCTATTAATTGGTCTTGGAAGTGAAGGAAAATAAAAGCAGACATACACAGAAAGATCAAAACACGTTAACAATACGAAGCAGTTGCACCTAGGAAATCAATTAAATTGTGGTCTACAATTTCTAGCAAATGATGTGTTCTTAGAAATCCTTCTTTTAGGAATATTTAAAGTCCATCAATTTAAGAACTTTTAATATTTCTTGATAATGCTAGAATATCAGCTGACTCAAACACAGTCTTGACAGCAAACTACTTTACACGTTAGAAAAAGCAGGCTAACAACAACTAACCAACTTGTAAATCAGTATTTGTTTAAATAACCTAGATGGCAGTTTCCATTAGTTTGCACAAGGACAAAAACTATTACCAAAAGGTCTCCTGACAATGGCAGGTTATCAGATATATGGTGTTCTGACTACATATTCCAAGAGAATTGTAACACTGCAAAATGTATCATGGTGAACTTCTTGCAGCAAAGTATTCTTGGACTTTCTCTTGATACAAGTGAAGGAGAAGACTAGGGAAAATGATGTTATACCCACAGATTTTATTTGTCTGCTCCTGATTGTCCTTCCTGGTCATTTAATAGTCTTAGCATAATTATTCAGCATGTTACTTGTAGGAAAAGTAGAGCTCCTATATGGTAACTTCTCTACCCCCCCCCCCCCCCCCTCTTTCTCCCCCCCCCCCTTTTTTTTTTTTTTTTTTTTTTTTTTTAAAGTATAAGAGAATTAAATCCTTGGTTTCCTTGGTAAAAACCACCAACATTTCTTGCCTGTAGATCCCTCTCTGAGAACACTTGAAAGAACACAGTTCCACATACAGTTAATTCTTCCAGTACAGCTGCTGCTACAGGAAGAGCTCATAGACTTAATGGTACTAACGCTACAAATTCTCCTTCACTGAGATTAACATTATGAATAAAGAGTCTCATGTAAGTGTTACAGCAATGGCACTCATGCTTGCCTTACCATTTATAGGGATCTCTGTTTAATGAGGTATTATAAGATGACCGATTTAAAAAAAAAAATATCAAGAAACAAGAAAATGGCTGAGTTTTTTTGTTTATGGTTTTGTTTTGGCTGAGTGTACCTAAATCAGACAGGAGGCAGGGGCACAACATATGTTTTAAACTGCTTACAATTTATGTGGTTCCCACCCTCTTGTGAATCAATTGTCTTGCTGCATGCTGATTACCTGAAGTTACCACCAAGGATGACATCATAAGTATTAAAAGACAAAGCAGTTCATTTTCATTTGTGATATTGCCAAACAATGATTCAGGAAGCACTCCTAGTGAATCCTGTACCAAAAAGATTACATCTACTCAGAGGAGCTTCTGGAGAGTTATTTTTAAAACATTTTGGTTTTGGAGGGTTATTTAAAAAAAATCCAGACATACTCTTATGCTGGATATCCCTAATAACTCAAAATTTAAGGACATGAATCCATATTTAATTTGATTTTGACTTTTTGTATTGTAATTTATCTTTATGGACAAAGAGCAGGGTAATTTTCTAGGGAATAATGACAGGCTGGGATGAGCTGAGTGCTCAGAGCACAGCTGTGAGCCATTACCACCACCTGATCACTAATCTCCAGAACTGTCCTGCATGAAGGGATTGCAGTTATTGCTCTTAGAGAACAATGCCTGGAAAACAATGAGGAGACAGATTATTCTTCTGGGTGGTACAGTTCCAGTTAGCATAAGGAAGGCATTTCAGGGCATTACCTCAGACTGGTGACTGTCAAATCAGCCATTGCTGCTATTTACAATCTTTCTCAATATTCCACTCAGTTTAGAGCTTATTACGCAGTATAAACAACAGCAGTCACAAAAAAAATCTTCATGCTTGCTCCAGTAAAGTAATGACTTACAAAATTAAGGCACTGCTTTCTCAACTATTCCCTAATGAAGAGCTGAATTTCCAATATCCTGCCTGGTAGATGAGATTAAGTATTAATTTTACAAGCTGTTGTTTGTGAAGAGTAAAAAGGAATTATGTACTTGTTAATTCCACTGTTTGCAGAATATCATCCACAGTTTTGCTCCAACAGTGCTGCACATGTGGAAATATACTGCAGCCTAATTAGTTACAAGAGTTCTTAAGTGAAAGCCTCTTTAAAAGTAATCTTAGCAGATCTTTATTCCTTCTTACCTTCTACATCCTTTAATTGGAATAAGAATCCTGTCCATATCGCACAGAAAAGACCTGCCTAGACTTAAACATTGAGCGTGTGCAGTGATAGACTACTGTAATGGTAAAGTTCTGAGTGCATGATCATAAAACATCCTATGATAAAGAGACAGCTGACACCTGCCTAAAATGATAGCAAGTATACCCTGGTTGTCTTTGGAATACAGTTTTGCCTGGGTTTTAAGTCACCACCTAGCAATATTTTCACATTCCTGCATGTTAAATTTCCCCTCAGTAAGTACATTAGAGAGCTATTGTGTGTTTGGCAGAGAATTTTATGGTTGCTATAACCTCACTAAACTTGCACATTTAACTTCCCATGTATTAAATCCGCTGCAACCAGGGCCTGCCTATCTACAAGTCTTAACTTTTTCCATGTGGGAAGTGCCCTGGCAGAAAGTGAAAGTATTCTTCGCAGCAAGCAACTCACACCCTTAGCAGTGCATTTGCTGAATCAGCCCTTTACAACACTGTGCTCATTTCCTTAAACAGCCATGGACAGTGTGACATCGTTACTCTGCATGTGTTGTATTAATTTATTGCACTGATGAAGAGGCAAAAGAAAGTAGAAAAAGGTAGTGGGAGAAAGAGAAAGAGGCATAGCAAACAACTGTACAAGCAAAAGCTTCCATGCTGTCATGCAATGTAATCACGGACATTCAAGCTCATTTTGGGATACTACCACACACTCATCATTAGATCAACAACTTACAATATCCCACAGCCAATCTAGAAAAATAAGTGTCTGAGACATGAAGCCTCTGGTTCTTATAGGTTTACCTGCATCTCCAGACAATGCAGCTGTGCTTTTACTTCGAGCCAGGAATGAGTGAGTGGGCGTCAGGAGCCGGCTAACAATACTGCTCTCCCATGGACTGAGCTGTAGACGGCGAGCTGAACATGCACCATACAAGCAAGATGTTAGATCACACACCTCACAAATAACTACACGTTGCAGAAATATTAGTATTCTCACTACCGCATGCCATAACAATCCTGAAACTGTTCTTCAGAGATCAAAAGCATATAATTGTTCAGTGTTTTGCATTTTATTCTTACTCCATTTTAGCAGAGGAATTCCTATAGGAACACATATATCCAAACATTTGTGTTACTGCCTGTGGCATTATGGCAAATTGCTATCAAATTAATACTGATACTTTCCGCATATGCTACATTCCCTATTACGAATGAGAGGATAACATCTGTACTAGGAGAGCAGTTGCCACTCCTACACGTAGCCTTTGACAGAGATGTTTGTGTCCCAAACTCTTTCTACACATAAGGTGTATAGCCTTCTAGTTACAAAAAAGATCAATTACTAAAACACCTTCCAAAGCCTGCCAGCCTAGCTAGAAAAGACAAAGGTTGTTTACTACTGTACAGAGCATTCTATCAAAGAAAGAGGTTGTATCAAAGCATGCAAAAGGATAGAATACACCTCAACCACAAATACCAAGCTCAGCAGCTACAGTTGTCTCAATAATACATGAAGCCGCAGAATACAGTAAGTACATTTGATCATTAATTCTCTGTCAAAAAATCCTGCTAATGATTATTTTCTATTTAGAACAGAAACAATAGCCAACTTTTTGCACTGTTAGTCTGTTCTGAAAACAGTGCATGTCGACCTGGATCCAATTGCTCCTTCACCTTGCTTTTCCCAGTGTTGCTTACTGCAAACTTAGCTTGTCAATATATTACTTTTGCCTTCTGAAACTTCTTGACTTTTTTAAAAAATACCATTTAAACATTGATCATGGTGAAGTGGTAACCAAGAGAGCCCTATAAATTATTTTTTAATTGAACTAGATGTTTCTTTGATAGTCTGACGCAAGAAATTGTATTGTAATGAGCATCACAAAACATAACATTCAACTATTTCCCATAGCAGTTCATTATAATAAGGTTAGACCATAGCAATAATCTTGATATTGCAAGCTAAATCAGGTCTTCTAACATCTCAGCATTCATTGGCCTTAATTTGGTGTTTATGCCAACAAAACTGCAGCTTGAATTTATGAGGCTCAGTCTCTAAAACATCAATTTAAGTGACTGGTTGTAATAAACACGAGATTAATTTGCATTTCTTAAAGTAGAGATCCATCACTTTTAATAGCCATAAACTCTGAATCTGTCTTTAATCTACTCCACACTGAGCCCCATGAAAAGAGGGGCTGATCTCAGTCTCATCCTATGAAAACATAACTGCCTAATACACTGTTAGTGCTGTTTTTCGCTTCTCAAATTGCTCCACTAAATTCTGCTAACTCAATAAGGGGCATTACTATAGAAATATAGGACTCTCAAACACAGCGGGCTCTCTGGGTAAGTGTCCTTACACAATGTACTACTGCCAGAGCTCTTTGGGATTAACGGTTCCATTCTGTGACAGTACAGATTACACAGACACACAAAATACCCTACAGAGACCTCCATTACAGCCCACACATTACCATTAAGCTTGTAATTTAACAATGAAGAAAAACCACAGAACTACCATCAAACTGGATGCAATAATGGTGAAAATCTTTGCTTCCTTTCTTCTCCAGGCACCATGCTCAATATGATTACTGTTTAAAGCTGCTATTGTAAGCCAACTTTTTTTTTTGGTGGTTTGAAGCTTTACTAGGTGAGGCTCACAGGCACAAGTATGGATGAGTCTAGAGAAACTCTTGTACCCTAGTTTAACACAATCACCATACAACTTCAGAAAGCAATCCCTGAAATTTTAGGCCAATAAATCAGTACTATGTCTAATATCAGTTTCTTGGCATTCATCTGTACAGCTGCAAACAGCTGAGAAGTAAATGTCACAATGTCATAGGGCCCTGGGGGCCAGCCGCATACCTTGCACGTGAAGCCCCAAAGATGAAGGAGTCTCAAGGAGGACACAGCTAAGATACTGATGACTTGGAATACTAAATTGCCATGTCTCACCTATCTCATGTCACTTGCCCTAAAGGTGAACATGGTTTAATTCTTTTTTTCCTCTTTGCCCCTAACACAGGGAAGCTTATATCCACATCACTTACTGGAAGCAATTGTGTGCCCACAGCATACAACTAACAGCACCGAGGCACTGTTTGGAAGTGAGCTAGCTGACATGCACCAACAGTGAGCTAAGAGAGACCAACAAAAACTCTCTTCTCCATATAAGCAATGGGCCTGATTCAGAAGTGTCAAAATAGTTTTAGCCAGGAGCTTGGAGTGAAGTCTCCCTAAGTCTCTAGAATGGATACAGATCAGAGTTCATTTAAATACACCTTGGCTTTGTGGATCAAGGTCATCACATACTGAATTTTCCAAATGCACACTTCTCTGAAAGCACCATATTCGGACACTTTCGATACATATTCTAGCACTCATTAGCATCACCATTAACCTAGAACAGCCAAATAAACTTTTGCCCACTTTGAGTTCTAAGTACAAGAGTATTAACACCTAAATGCATTGAACAACATAATTTTGGTGTGCAATTCACACTGAAGCAAACTGAATACAAAACAAAGAGCATCCCAAGATAAGATTGACTTTAAAACAATGAGGTCAGGGCTTTTTTTTCTTGCTCTTTTTTATTTTTTTAATGCCTTAGGGTTATGTTTTCAAGATTTAGTCCTTCAAACCACCTGACAAACAAGGGGAAACAATATTTTTTGTTCTCATGCTGTATTAGACTATCGCTCTTAGAGATGTTTGCTCCTCATTTCCAAACAGGAAGAACATTCATAAGAGGCTTGCCGGTGCAAGCAAGTACCCATACCCCCAGCTACCAGCAGGTTAGTTTAAAAAGATTAAAGAAGATCTTTATAGACTAACTTGTAACTGAAAAACGCGAAGTCCCAGGGAGCTGGCAACAGTGACTTGATTACAATAATCGGTAATTGTCTTCAGGATATACAAACTGAACACTGGAAAGTTGTCTTAGCAGCAGCATCTGATTAGTTCTAGGAACAGATGGGAGGCAGGGATTTAACAGGTCTCCTGATGAGCACCACAAAGGACACTCTCGTTGATAACAGTGGTGTTTGCTCATACAAAGCCATAAACATGGTGCGGCGTTAATGGGGAAAAACTACTCTATGCTTAGATTCTCTTTCAACACAAAACTATACTGGAGTCCCTGAATTTCTTCTCTAAAGGTGGCACACAAACGTGATGCAGTGATCAAGACCATCACCTGTTTGAAAGCACTGCAGAAAGGAGAAGGAACACAACTACAGTGCAAGTTTTGCATTTCAAAACTAAGAAAGTGTGTAATTCTTAACTCATCTAAAGTATTACCCACTTGCTAAGCTTTCCTTCAAGAGCACAATTACCAAAAGTTATTGGTCAGAAGCAGCTTTCTCCACTTTAATATGTGTGTTCATGTTTTGTTAACTACTCAGACCTGTAGCACTAACACAAAAGCATAACGAGAAGCATGTTCTAGCTGCCCGATTGTAAAATTGTGATAAAGAGATGTATAGCGATACTATACTTGAAAAGGAATTAAGCAGTATTTTAGGCAATTAGTTAATGAAAACTTTTATCTTTTGCTGGACCAAAAAAAAAAAAAAATCTGTCTTTCAAATGATAAAAAGGTGCTGCTTAACAGAAGACATGTTCTTGATGACAGCTATAAGCCACTTAAGGTAAGCTTGTCATCCTCGTCTCCAGCTTGCTGTTTTGCAGGTAGGAGTATGCATTACAAAGTGTGATTGGGTGCCCTTTGGAAGGTGAAATGAGGAGCACACAGTTAGAGCCTTCCTCTAAGTATTTGACCTTAAAGATATTGAGGCTACTGGAGAGACCAGTGGCACTTCTCCAGATACATGCTCAACTAGATTTAGGTATGTGACTTTCCACAAGGAAGAGGGCACTTGCAGTGTTAGGATTTGCTTTCTGTCTTCAAGTCTGCAAAAGACATGAGAGACTTCTGAAGAGTTCTGTACTGTTTCAATTAAAATGCCAAGCAAAGAATGCCTCCCTCAATATTTAAACTGATATAAGGCTATCGCTTCCGTATTCCTTACCTTTCCCCACTGCTAGACTGCCTACTATTCAGTCTAACTTCTCCTGAATTTGAAATGGGTGGCAGAAACTATCACACAACAAGTTACAGTCCATAAGAGACTACCCTTCATATTTAATGCCTGCTGCTGTCCTCTGGTCCCCACAAGATGCTTCCTCAAACAAGCATCCCCTGGCAAAGAACAGCAACCACCTGGGAAAAAATATATATATACACCTGAAAAGCTAATAAAATTAAAATTCACTGGATTTCAACATTTAAAGGAAAAAATATTAGAGTTTTTTAATAAATTATTTCCTAACATAATGCTGTATTTTTCACAAGTTTTCAGACTCTACAACTAGGTTAGCCCACTAGGATTAATATGGCTCATCAAATCAAACAGATACACACGTACAAGCATGCACATAAAACATGGCACTTATGACACACTAATGACATCCACCAATGAGTTTTACAACACAACCAAAATTCCATTCTAAAAATTGTTTCTGAAAACATGTATTTATGTAGACTAAAATGGGACAGAACTTCTAATTCTCGGTAGAGAACAAAAAATCCCTACCAAGTACTTCTCTGTAAAGCTCTTTGCACAATTTATACAAGAGACATTCTTCTATAAAATTCCTTAAAGCTTAATGGCTTCAATCTCACAAATCCTCAGAACAGAGGCAGCAATTCAGCTATGTTAATTTTCAAAAGCTTGATTGTTTATCATTTGTGCAGAGTTGTAAACATCAAAAACATACACTGAAATAAAACAATCTTTGAAAAATAACTGGACATAAAAAGTCAATAAACAGACCATATGAAAAACATCCATACCTCTTCAATAAAATTAATCAGAAATGGTAATTAAAAAAACTGCTTGAAAGCGTCATGCAACACGTTCTTAGATATTCAAGAACTACTACCAAAGAAGAAAGGAAAGCAAAATAATGACAAAATGGCCTGTTGCAAATAAAAAGTCACACATGATTGCATGCACTATGGAGCGATGTAGTATTTCAGTAGCTGTACCTCATTTACTAAAAACCTGACAGAAGCACTGCTATCATCATTTGCTAAAGTGAGATTGTTTAGGTAAGTTCTCTTGTTTCAAAAACCAAGAAATATATATTTCTTCTCACAGGAAAAAATGTTCAACCATTTACTTTTCACATTTGAAGTCTTTTCACTCCCACTTAGATGAAGTACAGAAAATGACTTCAGAAGCTTGTTTTATGTGCAAAGTAATACATCAATATAGAACATTCTTTCTTGCTTTTTTTTTTCCTCTTTGAAACTGTACCTCTGTCTGAAGAATTTAGTAATGTTGCAGATGAGGAGGAGAGCCGCTTGTTAATGACTGGATCAACATGTTTCGAAAGGTTCATTGTTGAAACAGACCGCCTGTCTGGATCTAAAACAAATGGAGATAATGCTAACTGACAGCCCACATGCAGTAGTGCAAGTTCCTAGCTCACTAGTGGGTAGAGGAAAACATGACTAGGTCACTCCTGCTCTATCACAAGAACTTTCAAAACAGAATGGACTTTTCAGCAGACATTGTACAGGTAACTCAAAGACTGGGCACAAAACCATTTAAGTTTCAAATGTTTGAAATATTCTGTTTATTGATTATCATTCAATCAGGTTGCAATCCAAGGACTTAATGGAGGATTAGAAGTAGGTACTAGTAGACAAGATGATATTTCCTTGTTTGTTTCAATATTCTCAGAAAAAACCTTCCTCATGACTTACAATAAAAAGCTTCAGAGAAGGATCAAGATGCTTGGAAATATGAAATCATTCATAAAAACCCTTAGCACCTGAATAAAAGGTGACATTTGACAGGGCACTGTTACTAGGCAGAAGGTCAGTATCGTGACAACACAATACTGAATGATAAAGGGAAAACTAGTGCACAAGGGAAGCATGGTTAAGCACAAAAGAAATTAAAAGATTTATTCAAAAATCCCATAGTTATGCACAAGTGCTAAACTTCCCACCATAGAGTCACTTTGTACCTGCTGTGAATGAAGTTGTAGTTAGTCAATCCAGAACAACACACAGCTTAGCAGATAAAGAAAATTAGTCTCTGGGTAAGGCTAGAGACTATTTGCATGTGTTTGGTATATGATACTAAACAGTTTTATTTTGCTTTTAGGTTCTGTATATTTTAGAGCAGTATTATGTCATGTGCCTGCACAACTGCTGCAGAGTCAGCATCTGCACCCTACTGGGGAGGTGATGGTTATTTCAAGAATACACATCACTCATGCTTTGTGCACACATGTCACATGAAGGTAGCAATGGCAGAAGAGGAGGAAGGAGCTGAACAGGTCAGCTATATGCTTCCTGTTCTCTCTCTCTCAAAAGGAAAAAAAGAAAAAAGCTAAGTGCGTCAACTACATGTCCTCCATTGCAAATTTCCATTTGGAAATCTGACATTCAGAAGATGCTGGGAGAGTCAGTTCTGCTTTTGCTCAAATTTTAGCATGCACTGAACCTCAGCACTTCTCCACAAAGCATTAATCCATGCTAAAATGCAATGAGGCTTGAGCATATGCCTAAATGTTCTGCTGATTCATATTCTGTGCATGCAAAAATACGTTCACGTACTGTTTTGGAAGCAGATGCAAACTCAGGACACTGACAACATTAAGGAGGATGTTGCTGAAATATTATTTGCAATTGTTTATTTATGACAAGTACAGCAATATTGTATTTACCTGTTCTGACCCAGGAGATTTAAGTAAACTCGCTGTGTACAAAAAAATTTAATTGAAATACAGTGCATGACAAATACCTTTACTGCTTTCAGATCTCTGAGCTATATAGAATTCACTATAACTGGCTGGGGCAAAGAAGGAAAGATTCTCTCCTACCCCATGCAATTATTTGCTCGCTTTGTCTCATGTGAGAATGACTCAGTGAGGGTATAGAACCAGCAAACTGGGTACTGGAAGGGGCATAAAACACAGAAATGGGTTTTAAAAGGAGAAACCTAAATATTATAACCAAGAACAAGACTTCTGTAGGCTGGCAAGATTATCCTACATTGATCTGCTGTGTGCAAGCCAGTACTGGAGACAGAATACTCAGGCTTTATGCACCACAGATCTTTGTCAGAACAATATTTGTGGGAATGGGATGGGGATTTTGATCTCCTATATCTAATCTATGGCTGAGAAAAATGCATAGTATATCAGTACAGCAAAAAAAGTTTCTACATTTGGCATAAAGGATGTACTGCATAGAACAGCTTTCTGAAGATGACAAATCACCTCTTGTACTTGGCATGACAACATTTCACTCGTGTCAATGACCATTATTTAAAAGAATGAAATTCAGCATGAAGATGTGTGTGAAAGTGTTGGCAACAGGAATCCTATAAATGTAGACTAGGCTAAATGCCATTGCCCAGAAGATTGCTGGTTTCTTTGTTCTAAAAAACAAGAATTAAAATATCTGAGCAACACATCAGCCAATGCAGCTGGTTATATGTTTGTGTTCATGTGCAAAATAAATGTAAATCTGATGCATGCATAGTACGTCAAAAGAAATGTAGAATAGGCTAAATGCCATTGCCCAGAAGATTTGCTGGTTTCTTTGTTCTAAAAAATAAGAATTAAAATATCTGAGCAACACATCAGCCAATGCAGCTGGTTATATGTTTGTGTTCATGTGCAAAATAAATGTAAATCTGATGCATGCATAGTACGTCAAAAGGGTTTTAGAAAAGACAAAAATATTCAAATCAGGTCTCCTTGAATTCCAATAGACAGAATATTATGCTTCATTTCAGTGAATTGTGCCAAATCTTTAGAGTCAGCCAGTGGTAACTTTCCATAGTAAAAATGAATAATAATGAAAAAAATCTGGTACTAACAACAGTTCTAATCTATCAGCATGATGTTAAGCATGCATTGCAACTACATGAGGGCAGTTTAGTTACTGATGATCTCATTTCCTGAGAACTAGCTACGGGTAAAGGAATCAACAAACCACAGCAATTATGTACCAGGTTTTCTAGCACCACTCAGAGATCTGAAGTGGTGCTCCAGGCCTGCTAAATCGAGAAAGGTGAATGATGATTCAAAAAAATAACCTAGGGACAGAATGCAAGACAATGATTTTTCACAGTAAAGAAAAAAAAAAATCAAATAAATTATACAATTGAGCAAAAAAGTTACCTTTTATGAAAAATAACTGTTTATTGAACTTATATTTGACAAAGATTTCAGAGCATTCTTTTTTCTACTTTTTTCCCCTCCTTGATGAAAGGTTCGACACATTGAAATGTACACATTAGAGTAGGAACAGAAGAATTCTAAATACCATTTTCTGGCAAAAGAAATAAAGGACAAGTTCTCTTTTTTGGGTTTGTGACATATTTAACAGAGCATGTACACATTAATGATTGGCATATTAAGTTAGAGAAGATAAGTGGGGAAAAAAGCATATAGCTAAAATTCACTTAAACTTGATTTGCCCATCTAAGTTTTTCTAGGGAGGAAAAGAAAGGGGAAAAGGGACTTTTTCTATCTCTCAAAATATCTGTACAAGGTACAGATAGCTTATTACACAGAACAATTCTTCTTCCTTGTGTCTGTTATAATCTCCATACTTGGTAATTTCCACCAGACCTAATTTTTGAGCCACGATATTTAGCATTTGCACACAGTAATTCAGATCACAAGACTGACACAGCACAAGCACCCCCCCCCACACACACACACAAAAACAAACAACAGAGCAGCAGAAGTGAGAAGCTGTAGTAAGACAGTTACAGTATTAGTCAACTCCTGAAACAAATTTTAACTTCTGTTCCTATTTCTCCTTGTTACCTTTTTGCTACACAAGAATGTCAAAAACATGCCATTGATAGCAACAAGATCAAGAGCAAAGAATTTAAACCAGCATACACTGAATCATTCTTCCTTTTCACAAAAGCAAAGTAAATTCCAGTCCACTGACAGGGCAGGGAAACTGTCTGGCAAACCAAGCCTCCCTCTTTACCTGTGTTATTAATGCGGCTATGTAGTGTTCCTCCCCAGGACCACCTGTTTTGCTTTTGTTTTGGCTTCTGGCTTCTTTCAATTGTGCGACGTACAACAGCTTCATGTCGTTCCTTAAGTACAACAGGATAATACGTTTGGATATTATTGGGTTTTTAACTTAATCTTCTCATCAAACCCTACTACCCTCCACACAGACAAAACCTTGCAGGCATCTTGGAGCTGTGTTCGAGATTACATGCTGCCTAAGACACACACTCAGATGAACCACCCTAACTCTAGAAAAGAATTAAGCAGTAATTAAGCCATAAATAAGTTAAAACATTAACTGTAATTTTGAAATGGTAAGACCTGTTTGAGACCTGCAGAACGGCAGAGAAAAAACAGTGGTCTTGCTAAAGCAGCCACTATACAAACACCCCTCTAGGGCTGCTTCCCACCTTGTATCTCCCACCTGCTACATACTAGAACACTGGGATAGAGAGGAATCAAAAACAAACAATCAAACAAACAAAGGCAAGCAAGGATGAGTTGGCTTGCATAGGATCACACTGCACGTAGTTCCCAGCTTAAATGAGCTAAACCAGCCAAGGGCATATTTCATCACAAAATTACTTTCTTAAAGGTTTTGTTAGGACAACTACTATTTAGCTACCCTTATACTAGAGGGCTATGAATTAGCAAATAACCATACCAAACCAACCCAAATTGTATTTTTCTGCATGAGTTTGTACAGTGTCACACACTGTAATCCAAACACACTCAACTGAGCTGCTTTTGATTCACAAAGGACACTTAAAGAAGCAGTATCAGTGCAGGTAAGGCTTAAAATCCTCTCTCACGCACTCTTATACTGACCATGGCTTATGTTTAATTCTTTCCACCAACCCTTAAAAAAAAGTTTGATAGTACCATATCTTACAGTAAAGGCAAGCTGAAAAGTGTTTTCACGACATTTATTCTTACCTTATCTTCTTCTATTCTCTGCCTTCGCTTCTCCTCTACAGCAGCTCGCCTTCTCTCTTCCTTTAACCTCTGCTCTTCTAGTTTCTTTCTGCGTTCCTCTAGATGTTTTTCATAATGTTGCCGGGCTCTCTCTTCTCTTTCTAACCAGATGGATCCTCTAGCAGCTGTCAGAAAAATCAGAAAGAAAAGGATTAATATGCTATATGTGATGAAGTCTTTCACACAATTTGAATAACCAAGCTAAATGGAAAAAACTTTTGAACTAATTTTCTTAAGATGACACACATAATATCCTAGTCTCTCATCATGTATTAAAACTCTGTGTACCCCAGTCACACACTCATTTAATTTCATCTCAATTTACTTACTATGAATTACCACCAGAAATAGTTAAATTATTTGAGCATACACTTTCTATGCGGAAGATAGAATTTTTTGTTAGTTTAAAATACCAAAATACTTAAATACATAAGTAGGATATATGTGAACACATTTCTGTTGTACAAACCATGATAATTCTCTGTAATCTTCAACTGTAAAAAGAAAGATAATAAAAAGAAAGATAATAAAAAGAAAGATAAAACTATCACCACTCTATGCCTTTACTGACCAATACAGATCTCTTATGACACAAGTGGCTGAGATGACAATTCTAGCACTGGGACTGTTAGCCATAGCAACAGCTGACCAGGAGGAAACAAGTTCCTGAAAATAAAGCACCTCCTGAATGATATGAGAAATTAAGCAAAGAATAAAAAACCGAACAACTTACTTAACTGATGTCACTGGAATATTAATTTGCCTATAAAGGACATGGGGATCGTTTGTTCTTTCTGTCATTAATGTAAATGGTTAGATCTTCTCAGGGCATTATTTGTGGCAATTTCCATAGGCTTCAGCCTGTCATGTTGTTTAGAAAAAGTAAATTAAAATAGTATATTTCAACTTTGAAGACTAAATTCAGGAAGAGGAAGGCTGAAAATATTTTTATGCTTTGGTATGTAAAAGAGTTTAACTTTCACATACACTCTCACTCCTGGGAAGAGAATCAGAATGCTAGATCACTGGATAGAATGCTAATCTTCAGCTTTCTGGTCCTCAAAGAAGGAATGATAAAAATCACACTTTTTGATAAAGAAAGGCAGCTCAATAACAGAAACACACATTAGTGATGGATTAAAACAACCCAAATGGAAGTGTTAGGCTGGCATAAATTAAAACAAAAGAAATATATCTGACTTCAAACAAACGTAAAAGCTACCTTTTTTCATCACCTTTTAAGTTACAGGCAAAAGACAGCAGAAAATATACACCCATCTGTTAACGTGAGAGAGCTACTAAATTTATGCTTGGACCAAGTATGTAACTAGCACACAAAAACATGATTTTTGATACTTTCGTTTTCTGAGAAAAAGTGTAATATCTTTTTTAATTAATTTAAATTTTTGCAGATAGAGAAATAATCTTTGCTGCTTTTAAATTTTGTAAGAATTAATACACAGGCTGGACCAATGGGCTGAGGCCAA